AGAGAAGAGACCATGAATCGCATGTTCACTTGGAGTTTCAGTCAATTATCCCTGAGCAGGGGTTGGGGACTCTAATATCTCTGAAATGTAGGCTTCTCTAAGGTACCAGTAACTCAAAATGTTAATTGATATGAGAGCTGGTGAAGATGCTGACTAGAAACAGGTGAAAGGATGGTGTGGCAGGTGGCTGGCTCTCATGGACACTGTGAGGCTTCATCAAGGCAGGTCCTAGGCATCACCAAGGACCAACACAGAGAACAGAGGGCTCAGTATACCAACAGTGCAACTGGCTAACCTGGACCAGTGCATTACTCATCAGAGTGGGGGTGGGGTCAGGATTAAGTTGTTTGAATTCAAATTTAAAATAGAATTACAGAAACACTGGCAGAGTGTCACTTGCTCCTGCTAAACTTTACCACTACTGACCTTACAGTGTATTTCTTCTTGTCATGAATTCCAGGTGCCACAGGGTGTGGACAGTCTGTCATTTGTTCCCCACTCTCCTGTGATCCCATCTGGACTGCAAGTCCCTCATCTTCCATTCTATACCATCTGGACAGCAGAATCTTCTTTCTTCCCCATTAACTTAAGAATGCTCTGCACAGCTTGACACTGCTGCTGAGCAGGAGCTCCAAGGATGAAGCTTTTAAGAACTGTCACTCATGCTGTGGTGGGCTTTTCCGTGCTGCAGCCTTTGAGTTATCTTCTTCTATATATCTTCTATAGCTCCTTTAGGTAACTCTTCACCCATTCCCTGGTGAGGAACTCCAGTATCCAATAGACTCATGGTTTCATCAAGCTATACAGGAGTGGAACCACACTTTTGGTCTTCCATCACTACTATATGTGTAGCAAATAGACATTTGCTCACATTTAACCAGAAAATGTCACACAGCTGGATATTCTATAGAATGCCCACTGTGTTAGGAAATGAGGTTGCTTTGGCAAATACCGTGACCTTAGAAAATTACAGTTGTGTTAAATGTTTCCAAATAAAACACATAATGTGCCAGGAAAGCATTGAACAATCTATCACAGGTCCCTTGAGGTAGCCTGGAAGAGGGAGAAGAAAGTGTTCAACTTCGGGAAAAGATAATTAAGCTTGGGTAGGAAGAAACATGCCAGTGGATAGACAGAGGGAGGAAGCCTTCAAGGTGTGAGCAGACACTTGGGGAAGAACGAAGAGAACAGAATTCAAACTGTACACAGTCCTTGCTCAGGTTGAGTTAAGGAAGTCTGCTGTGAGTTGGACAGCAGCTGGGGCTCAGCTTCCCTGGGATCTTAGCCTTTACTTTGGAAATGGTTTGAATGAAAGGTTTCTCTATCTTGACCCTGTGGAGGGTCTTGCTTGGTCTGTGGGTTTTGGTGCTTGGGTGCCTATGATAGTATTATAGAGAAAAAAATTGTTTCATGACATATCCAGGAAGTGGTGTCCTCTCTCTACCTTTGCATGGTTGCTCAGGTCCTTCTTGGGCTGCCTGACCTTCCCATAGGTGGAATGACTGAGGTTACCAACTGCAGATCCCTGATGCTTGGTGATTGCTCAAATCTGTGTGCCAGGTACAATTTGGAAGCCAAGAGGAAAAGCAAGACTAGAATAGATTCCTCAGAAAAACCTATTAGTATTGATATACAGTAGTGGGTACTTTTCAGCATAGTTTGCCTTATCTCCACACTTCCTTGAAACAAAACCTTCCCTTTTGGTAGGTCTGACAAGATAATAACAAGCTGGCAGTTCACTTTGGCCGAACACTCACAGAGGAGACTTCAGCAGGGTTTTATGATTACAGATCCCAAACATGCCAGTTTCACTGGAGTATTCATTAAGATTGATAGGCAAATAAAAAAAGAAGAAAGGAAAAATAGAAGGGAAACACATATGATGACTTTTTCATGAGGACGAAGGATGAAAGTCATGGACCCCACCCAGTGCTCTGTCAGCTTTTATCTCTTTGTCTTTGACCTGAGATCACAATTTTTATAAGAAACAGTAAGTAAAGCGGCTGAGAGGTAACTGGGAAGGTGAGTGGTTTGAAATGAATGTTTCCCTAAACACTTATTATCCTTTAGAAACGTCCATCTGAAATAGTAGCTCCACAGACTCTGAAAGCTGTCCAGAGGATAGCAGTGGAACTGTTACTAATTCTGAACGTGCAGGCAGTTTTCAGTCTGAGAACAAGGTTTAACTCTGTATTTTGAATAATGCAGACATTTCATTATCAGAAAGGAATCAAGATAAATGATGGAGTATTGGCCAAAATATCATGGCATTAGGGTAATTTTGAAGTTACGTTTCAGAATGAGCTTTCCAGAGGACTGCTTAGATACATTGTAAAGTATTAGTATAAAAAAAAACATTAGTAAATGTTTCCTTATTTAGTGTTTACACTTTTGAAAAACAATTGGAAGAAGATGTGCTTCTCTTTGCCTGTGGGTTGGTAACGTCATATCCCAAGAGCCTTACACTATTGCACCCAGAATTCAACAAAGCGTTGGCAGCAGTTGTGATATTCTGAGATCATGGAAATTGGCAGTAGACATTGCTTTTTACTCGAATTTGCTTCTGAAGACGCTGGGACAATTTAATTACACCTGTTCCTTTGATTCTTCTTTCAGTAAAAATGTAAAATGTCTGTCTTGAGGACTTCCAGACTAAAAGGTTTGCAATGTCTTTTCTCTGTCATCCTTCCTCCAGCCGACTGTCATGTTATGTTGGGCAGAAGGACTGTTTTGAGCACCCGGGACTCTTTTTGACTCTAAGTATCATTGGAATTGATGGCAAGAAAACAACAGCATCCAGATGTTACTGAGTAGCTTTATGTATGGCCCTAATAACAAGTGCTAAAATTAAACCATTAATAGACAAGGTTGTGAAGAGCTGCTTCCATCTGAGTGTGATAGCATTGTCTTAGCTGATTCAGGGATTTCTATAGAGAAGCTTCACTTAATTAAATATACCAAAGTCAATAGGACCACAGTATCTGCCAAGAGTTATATAGCCCCTGTCCTCTGACATTCTGGTACTAAAGCAGTGGTTCTCAACCTTCCTAATGCTGAAGCCCTTTAATATAGTTTCTTACGGTGTGATGACCCCCCTCAACCATAACATTGATTTTTGTTGTTACTTCATAACTGTAATTTGCTAATTTTATGAGTTGTGGTGTAAATATCTGATATGCAACCCTTGTGAAAAGGTCTTTCACCTTCAAGAGCCTCATGACCCACAGGTTGAGAACCACTGTTCTAAAGAAAGACTGGGAAAGGTTCCAAAAAATCTTTATCTAGTCTAGGTGAGACTTTTATTTTGTATGTCATTGTGTGTTTCCTACTTTCACTTAAAAATCACAAGCCTTGATGAGATGATTTTCTACATTCATTGTGTTAGACAAGAGACTGGAGTGTCTTTTCTCCTGCAACAAGGCAGGACGGACTATTGGCATCTTTTGAGAGTCTCCCAACAGTTCAATGAGGAGAAGGAAAAAAAAAAGCCCCTTTTAGCCGGGCGGTGGTGGCGCACGCCTTTAATCCCAGCACTCGGGAGGCAGAGCTAGGCGGATCTCTGTGAGTTCGAGGTCAGCCTGGGCTACCAAGTGAGTTCCAGGAGAGGCGCAAAGCTACACAGAGAAACCCTGTCTCGAAAAAACCAAAAAAAAAAAAGCCCCTTTTGTGGGAAGTACTTCATAAGATATTCAGCACAGCAATTGAAGTATTTATTTAACCCAAATCTTAGCTTCTTTGAAGTCTCAGTGGAGATGATATTCATGTTCAACAATTGTTCCTGGCCACGTGGACTTTTTAAAAAAATTTTTTTAATTTTTTTGGTAGGGGCCTGAATCATGATGCTGATCTTTTGTACTTAGCTTTGTTAATTTGTAGAACCAATCAGCTTCTGAAGACATTATCCCCCAAGTTCCCCTCCAAGTGTGACAGGATGTTACATTAGCTGCATATTTGAAACTGCCAGGAATTCTTTTCCATTTAATATTAAAAGCCAAATATCCCCAAGTAGGCACAAAACATGCCGCTAGTGTTGGCCTGTTTTTTTTTTTTTTTTTTTTTTTTTTTTTTTTTTTTTTTAATCACTGACACCTTTAACCTCAAGGCCCAGTATTTTCTATCATTTGTTGGGGTAACTGAGATGAGATCACATTGTCATGGATTTTGGTTCAGGCATTACTCCTGCATCTGTTTAGTGGGGACCATTCACCTTGGTATTGTATTCTGGAAAGGCCATTACAAAGGTTAGCTGTACATCCCCATTTTGTTAAGTGCTCTATTGTAAGCAATTTGGACAAGTGTGGAAATGAGTAGATGTGATTTTCTAAAGTAATTCAGCTGTGAAAACTGGTTAACATTTGCTATTGTCTTACATGAGCACACCAGACAGCTGTGTGGAAAGTGCCTTATATATTTGCAGGTGTTCAATAAATGGCATTTATTGACCTCTGCTGGTATGCCTCTAAGACAGAATCTCAAGTCATGATATACCTTTTATTTGATACTAAACTATGATTTAGTTTCTGAGCATTTCATGAGTGATTTTAGTAGCTCTTCATTTTTTTTAATCACACAAAAGGGTGTAATGTTGTTGTTTTACAAATTCATATAGTTCAAGCACATATGGATCTCATAATGCATTATATTACTATCATTGTTGTTGGTTAAATTTCAATTTTTCAAGCAGTATACTCCCAATTGGTGATGACTAGAATATCCTTAGCTAGGTAGCATTGCCTAGTTCTGAGGGAGACTTCACTCTGATATGGCTGACTGCACTCTCCAGGCTTCTGAGGCTCCCTCATACTCCTGAGCAGATTGGAGTGAGGAATGGGGGGGGTGAGGTCCCCTGTTTACTGTTTCTAGCTTGTGTGACTGTGTTGCTTCTATTATAACTTTACTCTGCTGATTTCAATCATTTCAGATTTGAAATATGGAAGACTTCCTGGCCTTGTGATCAGTGTCTTACTCAGAGGGAACTCGGGGAGGGATTAAGTACTTACAGGTGTCTTCTTCTTCCATGGAAATGCTGATCACGTAACAGGCGTACACAAAACCAAGCAGCTGGAAAAACAAACGTGTGTTCTTAGAGTCTGTATCAATGTATCAATAACGTCTAAGAATTTGTAATAGAATAAAATTTTACATCTAAACAATAGGTGCTGCTGAACACTTCTTCATTTGTCAGTAACCTAAATAGTTTTCTAAAAAGTAGAGATAAATGAGAAATGAAAACAATTTCTGGATACTTAGACTTTAATTTGGGATATAGAAACCATCATAAATTATTCCTAATATATAGTTTATTTTTTCATATTTATAGAGCAATTTGTGCTATATTCATTATTCCTACAACCGTTTTAATGTTTAACAGGCAGAAAAGGACTCAAACGTATTGCACATAAATTAAACAGCAATCATCTACTTAATAATTTAAAATGCTGTGAGAATGTACATGTACATTCTATTGAGTACCAAATTGTTTTGTTAATTACATAATAAGAAAATACATTAACTTGCTGGTGATTAGTCAGTGGTGAAATGTAGTAGCAGGAAAGAAAATGTATACTTTGAGTGTCTCAGAGAACAAACATAGCACAGAGCAGCCTTTGCCGCTGCTTCTCTGTGTTTCTTTTTCTGTGCTTCCCTGAAGGATGATTTCTCTTCTACACAGTCAGGGACACAACAGTTCTCAGAGGTCAAAACTGTCAATTAATCTCAGCTAATCTAAAATTACTCGGGTTCTTTAATAGGGTGGAAAAGAGCTGCCTCCCTAGCCCTGGAAGTCGGTCATTTTGCCCTTTTCTGTGTGGTCAAAGCTCGTTAGTTTCCTCCCCCTATCCTCATTATAAGATACTGAAAAGGAAACATTCTGGTAGCCCCAGTGTCAAAGACTTCCTCCTGCAAGGAATACCTGTGGAATATGCAGCTGCCCGCGGTGATTTCTAACCCAGGCTTATTGCCCTGCCCCAGACAACAGAGATGAAGGAAGGTCAAGAAGTCCTGAGAGGGTGAGTGAGAAGGTAGGGAGCAAGGCCTGTGAGTGCGTACAGAGGGGCTTCCTACAGGGGAAGGTGGTTAGGAAAAGGATGCTGGAACTCCGCGTACACAAGGTGAGTATGCCTGATAAACAGTCAGCCAGCAAGTGGGACACATGGCTGATCTGAGAAACTCTGAAGGGGGAGTGGAGTGAGGTTCTGAGACGCCCACAAAAATCACTGTTTGGGGGAAACACCAGCCTGCGAAACTGTCTTATTCCCAGAGTGTCCTCTGCCAGTTTACGTGTGAGCCAGTTGTGTTCAATCCTTACTCCCTGTATCTTCTGTCTCTACTCCTTCATCCCCTGAACAACCAAGTAAGGAGGAGTTGAGACTAAAGAGCTAAGCTGTATGGCCCCTTCTTACTGAAGACTTGGGTACTGAGATGGGGCTCAAGTTGAGGAGCTGAGGGTTCGCATGAACCTGGCTGAGATAATTTAATATCTACAAGGGAATCCAAAGAAGCTGCAAATTCCGCTTGAAACAGGACCCAAAAGGTGAGATGAAATGGAGTCTTAGAATGGGCCTGAAGTGACAGTGGAAGAATGAACAGAACTGCTTTTTAGTTGGCTTCTACCCAATCCAGATTGTACAGGACTTCAGCTATATACAGAAAAACCAAGTGACCTATGACCACCACCACAACAGTGCTGAAGAGTCCTCTCATGCTCTTCCACACAGTCTCCAAGTCACAGTGACACTCCCGTGACCCAACTGAAGACCAAGTCACTCATGCTTACATAAATATGTACCATTTGAATGTATTATAATGTACAGTATTCTATCATTAAGTAATTTTAGTATAATTAATATAGGAATATTAATGTTTTTTTCTGTGTATTTAGCCCTATCTCTATATTTTGATTCCTAAGACAGAATTATTATAGTAACATAACACTTTTTTTTTGTTGTTGTTGTTCTTATTTTTCTAACTGTTGACTTGGCTTTTAGAATGTTTGCTTCATTTCATTCAAAGTCATGCCTCATAGTTGTCTTGAAATATTTAATAATATAAAAATATATAATTATTATGAGTTAGTTAAAAATAATCAAAAATAAGCTGTAGTATCTCTTATTCTACCTCAGTAATAACTAACAATACTCGTCTTGCCATGTTGTTGTTAGTAGAGGCTATTTGCTACTAGAAAGTATGAATTCGTAAAATAAAAGACCTTCTCTTGTAGCAATTTTACTTCATCTGATACATTTTTAGTTTGTATTAGTCATAGTTATGTGAATTATATGCAGTTTGTTTGCCTATTTAGGATTTTGACATTATTAGTAATTTGGTTTTTTTTTTAAAGATTTATTTTTTATTTATGTATATGTGTGTGTGTGTGTACCTGCATGAGAGTATGTGCACCACATATGTGCAGGTCCCTGTGTGGGCCAGAAGGGGGCACTGAATCCCCTATAACTGGAGGTATAGATGGTTGTGAGCCACCATGTGGATACTGGGAACTGAACCTGGGTCCTCTGCAAGAGCAGTAAGTTCTCTTAATCATTTGACCATCTCTCCAGGCCTTATTCTTATGATTTTGCATGGCATTTTATGGTCTAAAATGTTTGTTAAATGCATTGGGATTTATTTTTTGATTTCAGAAAATAAAGGTGGCTTTGCAACACTGGAAGAATTTTTTTTTGCTAAATTATATGCTGGGAGGCATCTGCCAATGGACAGGTACCTAGCTCTTGTTGGTCTCACTGTTTGGGGAGTGCACATTTTGTACCTACATATATACTATGCTTAAATCAGAAACCCTCTTATGCTTGTTTTATGTTGCTGGTGTAACAACTGACACAAAGAACAGAAAGTTGCTTTCTTTGCTGAAGCCTGGAATAGGCTTCATTGAGCTAATATCACACATCAGAAGGGCTCTAGTCCCTCTAGATGGTCTTACAAAATCTATTTCCTTGCTTTTATAGTTTCCATAAAATTTCTATCTTCCTTGACTGGTGTCACCACCTCTCTGTCTTCAATGCCAGCCACTCCAGGGCAGATTTCTTCTCATGTTACTATCACTCTTATCTTCCCTACTACTCTGCCTCCTTGTCTTGCTTTTCCTGGTGTGAGTCATTGTGTTGAACCGACTTAGACAATCTCCACATTGTTAAGCCCGTCTGATTATCACACCTACTTTCATCTATAAACTCAAATTATTTCCCTTCATGTTGAGTAGTTATTTCATCCCAAGTTTTATGGATTGGCATGTGGAAATCTTCTGAGGACATTTATTCTACATCTGTGAACTCGTGTTTTAAGCCATGGGCAGGCTTGCCATAGAACTTCATGCAGCTCTAGGAGATGGTGTGAGAGAGTAACTTTCTGAGGCCGGTGTCCGAGCTGGAATCACGGTATTGGATGATTTGAACAGAGAAGTTGTGTCTTCCTCCGTTCCTCTCAGCAACCCCCATTGTGTAATACTGAGATGAAAGCAACCGCAAGTCATTGCACATTTTTACATCTGGCTTTATATCTTTCAGCTTTACTAAAATATGTGTCCTAAGGGCAGAACCTAATTGTTTTAAATACCACTTATTTCAAGTGGTTTTACTGACCACTTCAAATTGGGGAGTATCGTCTTGCATTTTCAGACAGCATGGCTTTTATTTTGTATTGTGCTTGACAGAGACCACACATATACCAAGAGAATGATGCATGTTCACTCTTAACAAGAAATATAATTCACAGATGTGTGTGTAACCAGTTTCACTTTAAATCCGCAGATTGTTACAGAAGAAGCAATGATGTGACTTGAAATTGTTAAACTTAGAATGTAATTTGTAAATGTGCTGAACCCCGCATGAATGCCAGTTAGCTTCAGTGCTACATGGCTGCCACAGGTAATCTGGTCACACTGTGGCTCCTTTTATCTCCCTCTCTGCATCCCCCAAGGCATTGCTGGAGCCTCAGTGCCACATTTCACCTGATGTATGGAGCTGGTGAAGCCACCACTGGGAAACTCCAAGTCATATATTATTAGAAGATAGCTTTTCTTAGGTTAAAGATAAAAGTAAATAAGAAAAATGATGTAGCATGTTATCCTCATGCTGCAAATGTGATCTGTGCATCCTTCAGATACAGGCATTCTGGGTCTGGCATGGGTTTATCTTGTGTATCTGTTTGGCCTGTGTGGTTGTGTAAATAAGAATGGCTTCCATAGGTTCATATATTTGAATGCTTAGTCACCAGGGAGCGGAACAGAATTGAAGAGACTAGCAATAGAAGAGTAATTCAGACAACCTGCTTTGGCAACTAACTTTGAAGAGGTTATTTTTGCTTGAAAAATACTTTAATGGGTTCAGGGGACCTGAGTTCACCAACATACACATTAGTGGATTAGATTTCTTTGGAACCATAAGGGCTAGACCAAGCTGTAGCTAAACTAGCTGCAGGTTTCTTCCTATGGTGACTAAGATGACTGACACCCTGGGTCTGCTTCAGCAGTGTGGAGGAGGATGGACCCTGCTGGGACAGAAACCCACCAGGATCACTTGTGCTGTTTAATGACACACAGACAGAAATTCAGACAAGCATTTCTAATTTTATTCTAGAGGTTGCTATGTTGTAGGATAATTTTATATTTTAATTTTCTTATTAAACTAAGGCCAGTTAATTCTCACACAGTCGTCATTTCTCATCCAGATAAGTGACAGGAAGACAATGATGCGCGGGCATGTTTGGATGAGTGCACTAGGGGCACTCAGAGGCCTTTCATGGTACTCAGTACTATGGTGCGTATGAGTTTCTATTGTTGTAACGAACTGCACTTCTTAAGGAAAAGGGGTAACACCTTTATTTACACCTAAGTGTTGACTTATGGTATGGTGGATTATTATTATTATCTTCCTTTTTGATGCCTTTTGAGCAGGATGTCTGAAGTATATATTCACATTTTGCTAGTCTTTTTGACAGATAGCATATATTTTGGTGTTTTCTAATATTGCTCAATCCATTTGGCACAGCTGGATCCATCAACATTTATTGGTAAGTCCATCAGCATTTACTGGTTGGTCTATTGGCAT